AGAGAGAGAGAGAGAGAGAGAGAGAGAGAGAGAGAGAGAGAGAGAGAGAGAGAGAGAGAGAGAGTGGCCAGTCGGTGATGATCGATGTAATGGAGATCCATACATATGATTCGCCTAAGCGCGCGTGTCTGGGGGAGGCTATCATCACAGTCATAATAGCGGTATTTGGGCCACTTCCAGTCTAGGTACAGCGATAATGACCGTGCATTCTACTCGAGGTAAGACGGTAGCAGGAGCAGCAGGCGTGGCAGCAAGAACAAGAAACAAGTAGGTGGTTGGAAGGTAACACGAAACGAGGCTCAGGGCATACTCGCACGAGGCCTTTTTCGACTAAGCTCTGGAGGTGATTGCGGTCATATTCATCCAGGTCTGGCCGTAATTCACCTAGCGTGAGTATGCCCTCAGTGAGGAAGGTAACAAGGCCGATGTCATACAAAGACTCTTCCTGTGGACATCTCACCTTTTTTTGGGTTTTGTTTTCCTCACCGTTGTTGCGGGCGCGCTTAAACCACTAGTAGCTTTCCGTATTTTCCCACGCGGGAAAGGTACTAGTGGTTTAACACAAAAAAAATCTCGTTCCGTTTGAGTACCTCCCAGAACAACTTCGCCCTGTGCGGTCACTGCAGCACGAGGAGGAGAGGGAGGAGCGGGAGGAGAGGGAGAGGAGGGGCAAGAAGAAGAAGAACAATAAGAGGACGACTAAAAGGGGGGCGAGAAGAAGAAGAAGAAGAAGAAGAAGAAGAAGAAGAAGAAGATGGAGGCAAGAAGAAGTATGGACAATGGAGATAGCGAGGCCAATCGCTAAGCGTGCATGCTTCAGAGAGAATTCGTATAGCACTATGCCCGATGCGTTTCGGTTTGGTTGTACACCTGCAATCCTTGGGGGACCGTCGGCCACCGCTCCCCCCGAATAGAACAGACGGCCATTGTAGCGGTATTTGGGGCAACTTTCAGTCCAGGTGCAGGCATAACAACCGTGCGTTCTATTCGGGGGAAGAGGGTTGCCCAAAACCACCTCGCGATCCTGCCCAGAGCATAGAGGCCCTTGCTGGCCGTGCGCTGAGTCCAATATATACTGCGTACACACTCTGACCCTCCTTCTTACCACTTCTTGCGAAGAAGAAGAAGCCGAGGAGGAGGAAAAAGAAGACGACGACGGAGGAGACGGAGGAGGAGGAGGTGGAGGAGGAGGAGAGGAGGAGGAGGAGAAGGAGAAGGAGGAAGATAACCTGGAAAAAGAAGGAAGAGGTCAAGCGATTGCACACACGTGGCGAGTGATTCGTTCTCTCTCTGTGTTGGCTGAGGAATAGGCACTACGGAGTTGTTGACGTCAACCAACAACACCAGCACAGCACCAGAAGCAACCAAGATTCCTGTTGCCATCATCAAGTATTGTCATCATGTATCACGTGTCTTGCATTTGACCGTTGATCGTCATGAATCATCAAGTCCATTCCGTCCTGTCTCGTCTAAAAGCGCGCAGCGGACTGTGACCTCTGCCCCTTTGTCGTATCCCCGATCGATTTGAATGCTCTACAGCGCCTAAGGCACCTTTTCCATACCTTTCTCGGCCTTTTGGCTAAGATCAGGAGCAATGTATCTGTTCTGATCAGCTTAATATCTGATCCCTGGTCCATCGCGCCACCAAATAAAGAAAAAAGAAAAGGGAAAAAAAACACCTTTTCCATCAAATGTAAACCGCAGCCAGCGATGATGCTCACGAAGTCACGTGATTGCTGTCCTCCTGCTGTGTATTGCTGGCGTTCCCCCTTCCTCACTGCTCATCGTTACCTATTGATCATCAAGCGCCATCTGTCCTCCTCCTCCCTGGCCCGATGACCATTTCGCGACACCAACTGCCTTGCCTCACTGGCTAGCGAGCTCATCATCATGATCATGAACTCTCTGTTTCGCACTTTATCTTAATTACAGTATTATTAACTTAAAATACAACAATTTGCCCTGCATCTCTCTCTCTCTCTCTCTCTCTCTCTCTCTCTCTCTCTCTCTCTCTCTCTCTCTCTCTC